TTTTGGCAGTAGTTTGACGCGCAATGTATGACGTCACTATTTCAACCATCAACAAACGCATGGAACTGAAACAAAGCTTAATATAAAGGAAAAACTAGAGAGGTGTCGAAATTACCCACAATGTCGGAATATACCGCATTTACCCTATAACATTTCTATGAAATGTGGGACGCCTGTCCTGATTTACCCCACCTGTCCCTTTTTACCCCATTTGACAGTATACAGGATATTTTGGAAGGAGCATTGAACTCATTGAAGTAGGTACTGCAGGTTGTGGACATTGAAAATTTTATGAAACGCGTTTGCAAAGTGCAATCCTGGATCCACAAGTTTTTCAATCAAACAATAATGCATGATATTAGAACCACAATATTTCAGAAAAAAAGTAGGACTTTTCCACTTTCCAGCCCTGGCATTACGGGTGGCACATCATTGCACATTCACTACCTATACTATGCCAAATTTTAATTTCAGATTGGGCTCAACAGCTAGCCTGCTAGGCCTAGGCTAGTAACATATTTGTAGAAAAATTTGAATCTTACAGCTAGCTCAATCATAGTTTGATTATAAACAATTAGGCTCAAGTCTAAACACCAGATAAGTTGTCTAAACCTTTTCACAATTCTTAAAATCCAGATAAACATTGCAGTGCAAAAACTGCAGTAGCTAAACGTGTAGCTAATACACTGTGCAAATATACAGTAGTCAGTAGTGCACTGTGAAAACTGAAAATAGCTATACAGTTTAAACAGAGATCCATTCATTCCATGCTTACAAGTTTCAATATGTTTTTCATTTATTAATGGTTCTCAACATGTTCCTCAATCCTCATTTGAACCCATACCTAATCTCTCCCACGATGATCTTGAGATAAAATTTACTTAGGTAACAGCGTAACACCACGCGTAGCTACCACGCTTTGAAAGTTGCTTTACTCACCTTTGGCCGGGCATATGGAGTTTTAGCTCGTGGTGTTTTTTCTCTGAATTTCCCTATACGATGATCTGAAGACATGGTCACCAATTACCTACTACTTACAAAGTCATATCAAATTTACATAAATATCTACGTAAAATACGTACACCACTATCTAGCACTGACGAGGAAACATGGCGGTGAGCGCGCTGCCACCCTATTGGCGCAAAAGCTTTCCCACAATTCGTGACAAATGAGCATCGCGAAGAAAATCCAATTTCCTTTCCAGTTACCCTGTTTTTGATGAAAAAATAGTCCGGTTTTATCACGAAAGCATACACAAAATGTCAATTTGCATTTTTTCAGATACGAAAAGTTTGGGATAATCTGCATTTTCAACTTTAATCTCATCCATTGATGTATCCAAATATTATCATGATTACTGATTATTCATCATTCATTTGGCTCCAATAAATGAAATTACTGTTCGATTTTTTTTTATTTTGTTGAAGATAATGCGTTACCGCAACACTTTATTACTTTTGCTTCGCAATTTTTCCATCTTTTTTTCTACTGTCTGAAACGTGTCATCTTTATCCTGTGGCATTAAATATTAATGCTTCTGCCAGGTGACGTATTTTTATGACCGAATCGACACTTCATCGAACTGGCCTGCGCACTCGAATGCAAAACCTAACTTCACGTTCAACTCTGCCAGCCAAAAATCCATCAATAATGAACGGATTTTATTCAAATTTGGAAAATTATTAGTATTATCAGATAATATCAGTAAATATCAGTAAATTATCAGTAATTTTTTTCAGATTTTACATCAATTACTTTTTTGTTGATACGGAAAACTTAACTTCACTTTCAACTCTGCCAGCCATAAATCCATCAATAATGAACGGATTTTATTCAAATTTAGAAAATAAGTAGATAATATCAGTACTTTGTGGATGGAATTTTTCAGATTTTTACATCAATTACGTTTTCGTTAATACGGAAAACCTAACTTCATTTTGAACTCTGCCAGCCATAAATCCATCAATAATGAACGGATTTGGAATAAAAGTAGATAATATCAGTAATTTGTGGATGGAATTTTTTCAGATTTTTATATCAATTACTTTTTTATTAATACGATTATATCAATTACTTTTTATATCAATTACTTTTTATTATTTTTATTTTATTAATTTATTATCAAATTAATATTGTAGTTCGTTGAGGACATTACGTTAACAATTTAAAACACGCTACCAATTCGACTTAGTGCATTTATGGTTTCGAAACAGCGATACACAATCCTCGTAATTCTAAAGAAATACTTTTTCCGCGCGCGAATGTTGACGTATTTCACGTGGATGATGATGTATAAACACCGCCAGTTGATGTTATATTGGTTATTTTTATCCACGGAGCAGGGTGACCAAGTGGTTATATATCAGAAAACAAAGATTGAAGTAGTGGCTTATGGTTTTCATCCCATCTTCTGTGACAGTTCTGGTCAAAATCGGTGAGGAGGCCGAGCGGTTGAAGACAGACCGCAATAAGCTGTAAAAAATACTTCGATGTTCAGAAGCGGCAACAGTTCTAATTGCATATAAACGCTGACACCACTTTTATTTAACGTTTTTGTTTAGGAGCGTGAGTCCACGTGGTCTTGGCTGGATGCAATGAAATTCCTTTTCGGAATTCGGTTTGTCCAAACTACCTACACTTGTAAACGATATGACAGTCAGAGTTTGTGCGTGCTGATCCAGTTTATCATTTTCAATATGCGGATAATAACACATTATTGTGAACTTTGTTTTTAAGTTTCCTATGAGGAAATTTTTATAATAATAATAACGGTTTCAGAGTTGATTAGACAGTTAGATCATAGATCTGTCGCATATTCTTAATATCGCTCAATATTTGCAGCTTGCTGCGGCTCGCGAACACGCAACTCACTGCTCCAATTTTGCCGAGCTTAACCTCCCGGCCTCCAATCCGTTTTTAACAGAACTGTCAGCGGAGGCTGGGATTAAACCCCCCATCGTCCCCCTTACAACATACCTTTTTCCCATGTTTTTGATGCGTGCTGTAGTTCAGCTGGTAACATTTAAAGTTCTTAACATGATTAGAGGAGCCTTTGTATATGCTTATGAAATAGATGAATTTCTTGTCTTCACGCAATCACTAAATACATCATATAATTTATTACCTTTGTTGAAAAATCTTTAGAGATATGAGAGAGGAAACCAAACGAGCATGATGCTAGTTAGCAACTGATCTGGCGGAATCACAATGAAAAAAAGGATTTATCAGCTAACGTCAATGCAGATAACCTCGCTAGCAGTAATAATTCTACTAAAGTCATCGGCCTTCAATAGAAACGTTCTATTTTATAAACAAAACTAAACCAAATCGTTCTAGCGCCACCAAACCAACTTCGCAGTCGAAACTGGTGGATATCGAACCTGTGAGATGGAGGTTATAGGTTATAGTCAGCATCGCTACGAGTCTGTACTTACTGCCTAGCAACTTACCAGCAGGCAATAAGTCCAGCAGCTATCTCAATCAATCGTCAGTTATGGAAAGATCGGGTTCCAAAGGCCGGATCCCTTGTGAATCGACTCACGAAAAGTACAAGAATCGGCAACCGGTCATGGGCCTATTTCTTCAGTGCCGAAATTTCTATTCTATTCTTCAAGTCATAGTTTTGACCAGCATTTTAAGGTTTTTAGTGACGAGCGGTGAGTAATGTGCAGTTTCTGGTGCGTGGCCACTTCATTCACTTACATGGCATTGACGTTAGTTGTCTCGAGCGCTTGTGTGACATCTTAATTACCGCAGAAATGTTTCGTCGACGATTACTAAAACACTTCTTGAAAGAAAACATTGATACTGCACAGGTACAAAGATTTCGATTGAGAAGTATATCCAGAGGCAAGACTCAAGTCGTTAAATTTATATCAAAATTTTTTTCTCAACGAAGTGTTTTGCCACGCGTTCAACCAGATGATTAAAGTTAGGCTGGGAGGCCGAATTCTAATGTTATGACACGCTTTCTCGCCCAGAGGGGCAACGTACTTTGATACGTGAAGTTTTATCACTTCCTTTAAATTGGCGACCACTTACCCATAAATTTAACGGTCATTAGTCAGGTTAAAGAGTTGCTGGGTTTTAGGAAGGCGACTTATTATCTGTTACTGGACGAGGTATACAGATCCCAGAAGGTATATAAAACGAGGTATACAAATCCAGAAGAATGAACTTCAATTTGAACCTTCATTTTCTGTTTAGTGCAAGTTTATAGGCTTTGAGCTTTAGGGAAAGCACGTGGAGAAATTGAGCTTTTTCAATTTTAAGTATCAAAGTCAATTTGTATGAACACGTAATTATATTTTTGATGGTTGTAGCGGTCTGTGCGATATGCATAATAAATGAGCTGGAACTGTAATTACCCCTATAGGTAGGTAGACGTCTCGGACAAATTTACGGCCGGACACGCGGCCGGTCTCACGGCAAATCCCCAAATTCAATGACCAAGAAATATCTCCCGAAGTAACGAACGTAGCTCGATGAAACTTGGTACACGTATTCATTATGACCTAACGGTGATGTTTAGCTCGTGACAAAACTTTCCATTTCACCTACATTCGTGAGTTGTGGAACAATTCGGGCCGAAATTTGCCGTTACCAAAAAATTTCTTCTAAACTACTGTACAGATTTGAACGAAACTTTAAGCATACAAACCTAACCTCCCAACGGTGATTTTTAGCTCTTGACAAATTTTTCGATTTTCCTTTCGTTTTCGAGTTTTTTTTTTCATTACACCTTCATTCTGAGTTATAGGGCAAATACAGGCCGAAATTGGCAGTGACACGAATCACAATGTGACAAGCTCGGGGTAATTAATGGATTCTTGGTTGCATCTTCATCTTAGGCAATCATGTACAACCAATAATGTCGTCCTTTAGTTCTGTGGAAGGGGTAGACACGTTTGTGGGCGCATTAGTTGATGCTATCATACCAGTAAGGTAAAGTAATAGTTAATAGCTTTACAGCTGAACCAACGGGCCAAGAAAACACAGTAGATAATTCAGAGCCTTTACTACAGGATAATGTTCATATCATCTAATCAATCTAGTTATCTCACAAAAAAACTCCGTGAACTAATTAATGAGAGTAAGCGATTTCGTTCCGAATACCATTGAACGTCAATTTAAATCCCTGCATTAGACATCTCTTTAAATTTTCTCAGGGCATCATGATGCGCAGGCGCAATATTTCTGACGTGAATGAGGCCAAATGAGCGCCGAAGACTTTTAACAAACGTCTTGAGACATCGCGTCAGGAAACGTGTCGTACGCGTCTCGCGTGTTACATGCGTCTAATTTATTTCACCAGCATATTTTTATTTGTATTATAATCGCCTTTTAATTTTCTACCCTCTCCAGGATATGAAAATTTTAGACTTCGCATGCATGCGTTAAAAATTTTGAAGAAACCGACAGCTTTCAACCGAAAGTTGAAATTCCGCCGAGTTTGGCCATTGATTGAGTAAATATTGGAGACCGCTGCAGCACAGAGAAAAAAATAATATGCAAGCCTTCAAGCGATCATCATTCCTTTGCTTCGCCGGACTTCAAGGAAATTTTTCAACATTTCATACCGCGGAATTCGTAAACCTAGAATCACGCCTAATATGACATACAGCCAATCGCTCCCAAAAATGGGTAAGTCGAAAACACGCTCTACGGACGTCATTTTCGGAGAACCAAATTGGCGGGCACTAGTTTTGATTCATTCGTCTCGATTTGCTACACACACAATTTTTGCCAATGCTTGGCTGGGGCCAACGCTTTGGCCAATTCTTGACTGTCGCCAATGCATTTGCGAATTCTTGGCTGGGGCAAATGCTTTTGGCAATTCTTGGCTGAGGCAAATGCTTTTGCCAATTCTTGGCAGAGGCTAATGCTTATGCCAATTCTTGGCCGGGTCTAATGATTTTGCCAATTCCTGGCAGGAGCCCATGCTTGGTTGGGGCAATGCTCTTGCAAAAAATGACTGGTTTTTGGCAATGCTTAGAGGCTGGCTCAGGCAACGCGAGCTGTAGGGTTGTCAGTGACAGCAAGATTGGTCTTGTAACAGGCGAGGCTGCACAGTGCAACGCCCGTCCTTGAGCAGGAGTAGCGCTTCAGGTTTCCGCATCCAGCAACGCCACACATCACAGGCTTGGGTTTCTCTCTGAAATAGGGCGGTAATTGAAAATTACATCGAGTAGAAAATTTTTTAATCAACTTAATAACAAATTAGGAATTGTTGTTTGTTTTAGTGGCCTTAGTTGCTAGCGCTTCGGACCGGGCTATCTCGCGCCGATTGTCGCGTTGGGAGTCATGGTCTGAGATTGGGGACATCACATGTATTGGGGTGCATAACACGTTTTATGGTATATCACATGCCAGGTTATATACTGTCGAACATATTTATCGCCCTTAAGTATTCTATGAGTCGGTCGACATTATAATGGCCGTATTCTGGTTGGGCCAAGATACTTTTTAGGTGTGTGTTGGGGTCATTTCGACATAGTTGAGGGAAGAATTGCCGTCGGGCATCACTAGAAGACGGGCACTGACAAAGGAAGTGGGTCACGGTCTGGGGCACTAGGCAATCCATACAATAAGGTACAGGCAAGCGTTCCATGAGGTGGCCAAGGGTGATTCTGGTGTGTCCAATGCGATGGTGGGTGAGGCATACCTCCACCCGGCGCACGCGGTGAGACGAGGACGGCCAAAGCCTTATACTCTCTTTAATTTGTCGGAGTTTGTTATTTACAAGGCGCGTCCATTCTCCCTGCCACTCATCTAGTAGTTTCGTGCGGAAGATGGAGTAATGATCCCGGTAGGGTACTTCATCATTCCAATGTGGCGTCCCTTCAGCCTCTGCACGGCTTTAAAGCTCATCCGCGGCTTCGTTGACTGCTATCCGAACATGGCCGGGGACCCAGCAGAATGTGACTGTCTTCTGGCGTGCGTTGAGTCGAATTTTAGCCATCTATGTATGGCAGTCACCAGAGGATGCGGCGAGTTGTAATGTAATAGCGCTTGGATAGCACTCTTTGAGTCGCTAAATATACATATCTCCATGTCCTCGCTCTCCTTTGCAATTGCAATGTCATATAAAATGCCGCATAGCTCTGCCGTAAATATTGAAGAGTAGCCATGTAACTTCAGCGAGCTCCTCGCAGCGTCGCTCACCGCTGCGCATCCAACTATACCATCGTCTTTGGAGCCATCGGTATATTTGTGCATGTCGCGTCTGTGGCATGCGCTGATGTGATCGAGGAACAGAGACCTAATGTCATCAGTTGAGTGATCGCATTTCCTGCCCTGCATGAAGCCAGTGCAGACCATGGAGGGGGAGAGCGACGAGCGAGGGGTGTTAGAGAAGCTAATGGGTTTAGTCTGCACAGTGAGATGCAGACGGGCACAGGTCTCGACAAATTGGGAAATATTTTTGCACCAAGTATTGTGAAACGAGAGCGAACTTAGACATGAATGGCATTTGCCAAATACTTCAAGAAAGGCGGCGAAGTGAAAAATCGAAACGTGGACAATAAAATTGATAAATAATAAGCTTGAAAGAAAGCATTAAAGATAATAACTTTGTCAAGGAAAAATTATTACAAGAAAAAAGCTCCAAGCTTCACAGAATGTTCCTCCAAAAAAGACCATTTTTTCGTCTGATTGGCCTAGCAGGAAATCTTAGTTAAAACGGAAAATGACGTCGGTCTCTCGTACCAATTCTTTCAGCTAAATCATCACTCTCATTATCGTTAATATTTATGGCAAAATTTCATGTGATATATAAATCCTCATAATAAAAGATGGATTCACCAAGTGCAAGAAAAATATTTAATCTTTTGTCTGCTGACACCAAGTTTAGTTACCAGTCCTAAATATAAGAATAGTACCATTAATAATGTAATAAGTATCCATAGAACAAGGGTATACTTTTTTCTACTGACGGTTACTCATTGCCAGAATTTTAGGATACGAATAGCATTGAGGATGAAAAAATGTATTAGTTAATTAAATTTCTCTGCTAATCTCTGCAAGAAGATAGGTGAGGCTGACCTCACAGTGACAGGCTACTGAGGCAAGTAGCTAGCATTGATATTCGAACAGAATTGATGACATTTAATTTATCTTCATACAAGGGACTTACTTTAGCAAGAAGATAAGATTACTACCAGGCAGTGGCACGCTGCAGAGGCAAGTAGCTGGCCTTAATATGCGAATAACATTGATGACATTCAATTCATTTTCATACAAGGAACTTTTTTCAGCGAGAAGATAAAAATAAAAATTAGTACCTCGCAGTGGCGCGCTGCAGAGTCAAGTAACTAGCCTTAATATTCGAATAGCAATGATGACATTTAATTCATCTTCAGTCAAGCGACTTATTTCAGCAAGAAGATAAAATTAGTACCTCGCAGTGGCGCGCTGCAAAGGGTAGTCGCAGTGCGGCGGCAGGCTAATGTAGACGCCGCTAGCGTCGCTACGGTACGAGAACATCACCACTTCGCTCGTGACGGCCTTCTTCGGGTAAGCTGACCGCAGTAATTTGGGGTCTTGCTTCTTTAGTAATCTGTCAACGGTCTTCCTCTGAGGAAAAAAATATCCAATTATAACAAGCTAGGAAGAATGTTCATAACATCATTTCAGAAGCTAATGAATGCAACAATGAGGCAGGGATCAATTTCAGGGAAAAAAATTCAAAAAGAATTCCTAAGCAAAACTCGTTACTTCTGGCATAACATGAGGATGATAACATCGATATTTTGTATGCAAGTCACCAGCTAATCAAAAGCAATTACAAAAATAAAAAAAATTTCAGGACGATATTAGGTGCGAGGCTGAGGGTCAATGCCATAACTCACTGTAGTCCATACAGCAGCGGATTTCTCGTGTGCTTGACGAGTTTGGTTTGGAAATCTGGCAGCGATAAGCTGACTCTTAACTATATTTGATAAGTAGTATGACCTCGTATTGAGGGTGGAGCTCAACTTAATAACTCTTAACTATATTTAATTATGGCCTCGTATTGAGAGTGTAGAGTACCTTGTCTTCCTCACGTTTGACGAGCGCCTGCGCCTTACGCCGCTCGCTCTTGAGCGCCCTCTTCTCCAGCATCTCCCGCGTCACGACCTTCTCCTTGAAACCTGCACGTGGCACGGCAATCTTATGGCGAGCAGCTCGGCACGCTTTACATCACATTCAACAATGAAATGCATACTAACACACACATTCAACAATGAAATGCATACTAACACACACATCAACATCAAGCTTGTCCTGCTCTACAGTCGACGCCAGAGATCTGAGGTGAATTGCACGCAAGTATTCGCTCAAAAAAAACGCAACAAGCTGAGTTAATTATGAACATAACCACTTTCTGCCATTACAATACAGTTCATAAATATGATTTGCATTACATAAAGGAATTCACTCAAACACACAAAATATGAGCACAAGAAATGTTTTAAAAGATATCCAGCTTGATTAGCACAAAATGGTTATAGTGAATCAAGATCACTGAAATAATACATACCATACTTTCAAACCACCACAAGAATATTTGTATCAGCAGAAAACAATGGTAATGCATATATTAGGTAGATTTTACAATTCATATTTTTTTAAGTAACCAATCTTTCTACAATAAGTCTCAGATCACGCAAATTTCACTAACATTAGAGTCAGTAGAAAACTTGACCAAGGTTCTTTCCTATCAGAAGGTGCACGTGGAACATAGTTTCTGCTCTGTCAATGCATCAAACTGGTCCAGGTTATCAAAATGCTCACGCATTGAGCAAAACTGCAAACAAACTTGAGTGCTTCATTTTTACATTTTCCATAATAAATCTGCAGTAATAAACTGAACTTGACTAATTCAAGCTCATACTTTTCATTTCAAAAACGTGCAGTTTATCAAGTAATTTGTATAACCTGAAGGCAATGCCACCAAAGGCTCGGGTGGAATCTGATGAGGACTGAGACAGGCTGTGTCCTGAACACTGACATCAGCAGCATCAGCAGTGGGGGGAGGTGTGCTGACTGACAGGTCATCAGCATCAGCAGGCCGTTGCTTGTCAAGGAGGGCGCGCTGTCTCGCTGTCAGAAGGCGTGGATTACGCAACCTCTTCAGTTCGTCGTCGACCTGACCATGCAAAATGGATCATAATAAGTTAGAATGGAAAAGTGTCTTAGCATGAATAAATAGCATTAACAGTTGGTGAAGCTGGAACAACAGAATATAGTAATTAACACGTTTTTCTTAACTCAGCTTCGCGTTTGTTTGTTTGTGGATTTGTTTGTTGTTAACATTGACAACAAAAATTAGCCCACTTCTGATTGCTCTAGAGATCTGAAATTCGGCATGCAGGCTATTTTTGCCTAACAATTTCAGATACAATCATAAAAACTAGCAATTAGAGACCTAAATTAGCTT